GGGAGCAATCAATGCTGGTCAGGGGTCCTTCAGCCATATTGCAAGGAACCCGACTGTTCAATACTTGCTGGAGTGCATCACATCACATGCATTCACACAGCTGCGATGTCTCACACAAAGCCCAATAGAAGATGAATGAGAACCAGGAAGTTCAACTTAATTAATTAACAAACCCAGAGTAAGGAGGGCACATCATAAGTCCAAATGTACAGCGCCAATCAAAGTCACAAGTCCTCTCCAATCAACATGAGTTCCCTGGCCTGGCGCTCAGCCAGCACCAGCTGCCGGACATCAACAACAGCGCTCAATAGGTAAGTATCACCATAACTCGCACCTCCCCCTCTCTCGTCTGCTTTCTTCTCTCTCTCCCTCCTGGTCTATAGTACTGGTCTACTCTCACTCATCATGCATGCACACTCCCTATCACATGAGGATCTACACTGAATACTACTCACAGGTACTCCTACTACTACTAACCCCTCTATTGCTACTAACTTCTGCTGGCGCAGCTATGGCTGCCTTCCCTCTTGCGAGCACTCTCTTCTTTCTCGCACAGCGCTGCTCTTCAGCCTAGCGCAGCTCACACACATCTAGCGCACAAGTGCCACGAYACTTCCACACTTCCATGCGAAGTGAGCATCTGTCCAAATGGGAGGCTGGCCAGTCCTTTATAGTGCTGGACTGGTCTGGCGTGGCCTGCATTCAGCCTCAAATGTGCCTGGGACTCCTGCCCAGTACCGATTGCTGCAAAGTGTGTGTCCCAGTATCTTTTCCCATGGTCTGCTGCTGCTTGGGCCATCAGGCCTGTCTTTTGGACTCCCGATCTGAATCAGGACTGACTTGTGGAATTATGATTGAATTGGGACTGTAGCCTTTGACTTATTGACGAACGGACATGACTTTTCATCAAGGAGACATGACCCTTTCTCAGTCTCAAAAACTGTGTCCAGTACCTGTTCGTGCAGGACCTGTTATAACCCTTTCAAAATGACTTTCCATTTCATTATGGATGTGACTTTTACCTCAAGAACTTTGTCTTTTGAGTTGCTGCTCGTGATTTTAAGCTCTGGCCGACAGAGCCCTTTGCTGTGGGGGTTTCCATTCGGGGATCTGATTCGTAAAGGCCCTTTTACTCTCACCGGCCTAATTTCGAAGTCCTCTGAGAAAAGTTCTTACCTATCCACAATATAAATTCCCCTTCTTGCTCGTTCATAGGCAGATACAATATGTGGTGCTGTGTCAATTAGCTCTTCTCTACTAAACCAGCGGTCTTCACTTGGATCTTAATAGGCAAATCGAACTTTATATTGCCATTGTTCATTAGTTGTTGCCGTTGTTCACTTGTGAACCGTGAGTCTCTGTCACTAACGATAGTACGGGATATCCATAGTCCTTTACCCAATGGTTAAAGAATTCCCGAATCACCAAGTCCGTTTTAGCTTCCGAAGGCAATGCCACAAAGACAGCAAATTTACTAAATCTGTCAACTATCACCATGACTTGGGTTTTTCCGTTTCTGCTTTTCACCTTGGTGTCCATAAAATCGATGGACACAGAGTCTCCTGGACTTGTTGGAATAGGCAAAGGCTTAAGAAGACCAAGGGGAGGTTGTGTGGGGGAGGTTGTGTGGTGCTTTTGTTCCGTTGACACACTTGATAACCTTGTACATACGCAATACAATCAGGCTTCATGCGAGGCCAGGTGTAGGAACATAGAAGGTTAGCATAAGTTTTCCTCCATCCAAAATGGCCTTCTGTATCGTGGCACTCCCCCAAGATCATACTTTTAACCTCTTCCACATCTGGAATACAAAGCCTATCATGCACATCTGTTCTTTCAAACAACAGTCCTTGCGTTATCCGATAGTTAGGAAACTCTTGTGGCGCTTCTTGCACATGCTTTATCATAGCGCAATAGACAGGATCAGTGGAGTGTGCAGTCTAAATCTTATCTTGCAACTCGGTGCCTATATCTAAATATGTTACAATAGCACCGAAAAAATCAGATCTTCGACTTAATGCATCAACAACAACATTATACTTCCCTTTTACTGGCTTCAATTTAAAATCGTATTGGTCAATTTTCGCAGCCCACCTTGTCAACTTAGGTGTCATTCGGGCTTGCATTTTCAACCAGCGAAGTGTCTCGTGATCTGAGTACACTTTGAAGTGGCGTCCTAAGAGATAGTGTCGCCAATGACCTAAGGCTTCCCGGCAAGCAAACAATTCTCTTTCATACGTGGAATCGACAACTTTCTCACGAGGCAGTCGTCGGGGCATAAACTCAACAGGCCTGTACCCATTTCCATCATCTTGTTGGAGTACAACGCCTATCCCGTACGGACTGGCATCAGTAGTAACAACAAAGGGAATAGAAGGTTCAACAACTTTCAAAACCGGATAATTAATCAAACATTTCTTAAGACGCTTAAACGAGGATGTACAATCTTGGTCCCACTTCCAGATAGTTTCCTTTTTCAACAATCTGTGAAGGGGAGCAGCAATTATCGTAAAATGTTTTACGAATTTTCGATAGTAGTTAGCCAATCCAAGGAACAATCGTAGTTCCGTCAATGTACGTGGATTGGGCCAATCTCAAATAGCTGCAATTTTTGCGTCTTTCGGTTTGATACCGTCTCCGTCTATAACGTGCCCCAAATATAACACCTGATGCTTTGCCCACTCACACTTCTTTGGGTTCAGTTTCAGTTTTGCCTCACGTAATTTATTCAACACAAGTCGAAAGTACTCAAAATGCTCACTCAGACTTTTACTAAAAATCAAGATATCATCAAGATATATAACTACAAACTTATCGAGCCACTCACGAAAATGTTCATTCATCGTACGTTAGAAAGTTGCAGATGCATTAGTAAGACCAAAGGGCAACACAACAAATTCATAATGCCCATACCTTATGCGAAAGACACTCTTATATTGGTCTTCTGGCTCTACCTCAATCTGATGGTAGCCAGACTTCAAATCAATCTTAGTGAAGTACTTGCTTCCCTGAACTCTATCCAATAGATCGTCGATTATTGGTAATGGCTCAACACTTTTAACAGGTATGTCATTCAATCTTCTATAATCTATGCACATGCGAACCCCACCATCTTTCTTTGGCACAAATAGCACTCGCACACCATAAGGTGAGGAGCTAGGCTTTATCCATCCCTTTTCCAGCATTTCATCAAGCTGGGTTCGCAGTTCATCCAATTCTTTGGGTGACATTCTATAAATCGGGCCCTTCGGAATTTGACTTCCTGGTATAATCTCAATGCGATGTTTTATGGCTCATTCAACCACACCGCTTGGGGCCTCTGCCACATCTGCGAATTCTTTCAGAATTTTCTCCACTTCTGGGGACTTTGCCTCTTTGTCTTCACCTTCCTCAATTGGGCGCACATATGCCACAAACACTTGATCATACATATTATATTTCTTTACATGGCGGGCGAACGCGGGGGCACTCATACAACAATGAGCTAAGCTGCTTTCCTTACCAAATTCGTGGAATAGGCGGATTTTCTTCTTTCCACCTTGCGGACTAGGGAGCCAACATTCATGATCCCTTAACTTTATATCCGCATCTGCAGCTTCACCCCAATCCATGCCCAAAAGAATGTCAAAAGGAAGATTATCTTCCACCAAGAGAGTCAGAGAGTGGAGAATGCGTTCCACCTTCCCCTCTGCTTCGAGCCGGAAGTATATCTGGACCCCTTCAACATATCTATCCATTACAGTCACAGTACTATTAGCTAGTTTACTCATTACGGACTCATCTAAATGTTTTACCTTAAGCTCGAGTCACAACTTTTGCAAACCCTTTTTACTTATATAGTTGCATGTTGACCCACTGTCAATCATACCTCAAACTCTTACCTTACTAACTTTTAGATCTGCAATTATCAACTGTCTCTTACACTTTTTCATTTCGATCCAGGCTTTGCGACGAGTGGCCAACTCATCACCTATGCCTACGAGGGATCCACCTAGAGAGGTACATACACTAGCTACCTCTGGATAGTTAGCTAGGTGGGGATCGTCTTTCTTTACAGTTTCTGCCAGTGCAACCTTCAGATGGGAGGGTTTCTGTCTGTTTACATCCGAAGTTCCTGTAGAGGCAACTGAAACCTCTACTGGTTGTTCCCTTTTGGTATCTTATAGTCCGAGCAGTAGGGAACAATGTGGTTGGGGTCACCACCCTTGAAACACTGGTCAACAACTTTTCCTTATTTCCATACTTTTTCTGTGATCCCCAATTTTTTCCAAGGCTCCCCTTCAGGCAGACCTGGATGGGGCGGATATGGCTTATCCCAGTTTCCATACCATGTGCCTCTTCCTCTTCCCCAAGTGGAGTTGAAACCTCGGCCACCTTGCGAGGGACCATTACCCCTTCCATCCACGTAGTAGCGACCTTCGCCACCACCCCTTTGGGTTTAGGGTCCTCTTCCTCCACGTTCGCGGCCTCCTCTTCCTCGGCCACGGCCTCTTCCTTGTCGCCCTCCCCCGCGGGCTGCAACGGCCGCGTAGTCCCCCTCCTGGACTACCGAACCGTTGGGTGCTCCCTCCATACCACAGTCTATTTGGTCGTAGGAGAGAGTTTCGACACCTCCTTCTTCAAAGGTCAGAATAAGATTGTCTTTCCCAGGTATATTCCCTGAGATTGTGCGGTTTTGCCATTGCTTTCCCGCTTGCAGATCTTTCCAATAGTGGCAGTAGTTAGCTTCAGCTAGAAAACCAGCATGATCTATAGCAATCTTGTTGAATTTCTCATATGTCACCCCCTCCTCCTTGGTACGGGGATACAACTGAGTACGGAGAGGATCGGGAAGTGCCCTAGCAAAGTTATTCAAAATATGTGTAGGGGTAAGTCCGTGTTCAGTGTATTGTAGGAGTTCATCCATGGTGGCCTTGAGTGCAAACACACTCTTGCATTTCCTATCTGCGATGTTAAGAATCAACATTTCAGTTCTTCGGGCTAGATTTTTAACCTCAAACCTTTCTCGAACAACTTTAAAGAAGTCTTCAATTCGCGTTTGCTGAGAGAATTCCACCATGGAGGCACAACCTGCTTCCTTTTGCCAGGAGATTGCGAAACTCATAGCATCTCCAACCATACACGAGCTGGCCATGAGGACTCGGTCCCAATATGGAATGTGTTGTCCATAGACATAAGATTCGACTGCCGCAATCCAATGTAAGACACTTTCTTCTTTCTTGCCCGTGTAAGTCCACGGTACTTTTACTTTAATCTTCCTTACTTCCTCTATTTCTTCTTGTTGCACTCCTTTCTTCTTCTTGTCTCCATCTCCTCCATCTCCATCTCCGTCCCCTCCATCTCCTCCGCCGCCAGCTACTAGTTTCTTTACCACGGCGGCGTTAGATAATCTTTTGCTTATTTGTTCATCCAATTTTTCTACACAGGCTATTATATGTTTATCCACTTCCTGTGCAGACCTCTGCAGGAAGGAGTCCCAGACGCCTTCGAACACAAACTGGTGATGTTCAACTTTTTGTACTTGCTTTGACAACGCGGCGAGCTGTTTGTTGGTATGGAGAAGGGTATCGGTGAGGAGGGACAGCCGTTCATCTGCAACAGCTTGTTTTTCCTTTTGCTCTTGCAATTGCTGTTGAAACCTCTCCCCCATTTCCTTCAATCTTTTCTTTTCTTCAAATTCCTGCCGTTTTGCAGCCACCATTTTATTATGTAGTTCTGCTTTCTTTTCTTGTAACAAGATTTCTTTCTCCGCAGGATCTGGGGTTGAGGAGGCCAACTTAGCGACAAAAATATCCCTCTCTTCCTCTGACTCAACAAACATTTCTGCCTTATAACCAAACTGGTCCAACCAGTTCATAGCTTCCATCTCTATGTTTATGCCACAAATTTCGCTGGTCTCACCTCTTTCTGTCCGGCGTCTGTACAATCTTTCATCATCCTCCGCTTCAACTTCTTCTTCTTCTCCTTCTCCTTCTTCTTCAACCGCCTTCAATTCTTCCTGCAACTTCCTTTCTTTCTCTCTCATTTCTTTTTCTAGCTTTTCTCTTTCTTCCTTTATTTTCTTTATCTCTTCTTCTTTCTGTTTCTTTTTTATTTTTTTCTCTTTCTGTTTTTTTGCCATGCGGCGATCCACTTCTGTTTGTTCAGCCGCAGACGACCCCTGCTTCACCTTCCCAGATCTCATTTGCATCATATGGGAGGCGCAGACCCTCCCAAAACCAAGGGGAAAACAGAACCTGAATAGTGGCCCCAGTGGAACTGAAAGGGCCAGCAATCCCTGCATGGGATAATTGTCCATGGTGGGAGTCGGCACAGGAACGGCCTCCGCTGGCCCACCAAGTAGATACCCCAGGTACTAGTCTACCTTTTTGTGTGGATGGGTTCTGTTTTTATATATATATCGTCACAAACAGAACTGCCCGGTAAAACCGTAGGCAGAGAGAGAGAAGAGGAC